GCTGGGCACCATCTAGCTGTACTGGACTCAGTCTGGTGGAGGCCATGGTAGCTGTGGTCCATTAGTCCTTTGGACTAATCTTTTCATTGTATCTTGTTCTCTTCATTCTCCCTTGCTCCCGAAGGGGTGAGACCAGTAGAGTATCTTAGATGGCTGCTGACAGGCTTTTAAGACCCCAGATGCTACTCACCAAGGTAGAATGTAGAACATTGTCTTTATAAAGTGTGTTATGCTAATTGAGCTAGACGTTCCCTGAGACCATGGTCCCCACAGCCCTCCTCCCAGCAATTCAGTCCCTTAGGGAGTTTGGAAGTGTCTATGGGGCTTTCATGACCTTTCCTTGTACAAGTTGTGCTGGCTTCCCCAGACCAATAAGTTAATATTTTAAGTGGCTCCCCCCACATAGCCTCCTATAGTATTGTTTTACTAGTAAGGTTTGTCTAGTTCACATTAGTTATGGAGTTTTTGTTGTCCTTAGGTGCTGTTGAGTCAATTTCGACTCATAGTTACCCCATGTGACAGAGTAGAACTTCCCCATGGAGTTTTCTAGGCTGTAATCCTTACGGGAGCAGATCGCCAGGTCTTTTCTCCCACGGAGTTACTGGTGGGTTCAAACTGCCAACCTCTTGGTTAGCAGCTAAGTGCTTAACCGCTGAGCCACTGGAGTAGGAGAGTACAAATAAACAAATCTTTCAGTTAGTAGTTCATTGTTTTGAGTATAAAAGAATCATGAGTTAGATCTTATTACTGATAATACCTTATCTCATTTATGCTGTGTATATAAAAGTCCTCTAACTGTTATGTTAGCAAAATAGTCCTGACAGTGGAACAATTTATTTTGAACAAGCTTGGCTATACTGTTTGCATATCTGTGAGAAAGAGCACACACACTTTTTTTCTGATTTTTTTTTTTTTTTTTTTTTGCGGAGGGAACTGTCCATGTAGTGTTTCATCTTAGAAATTATGATTTGGATATTTTGAATAACCAAATGTTGGTTTCTTTAAGAAAATAGACCCAGTTTGCAATTTTTCTATTTAAAAATATTGCTTAGTTTTTATTTATTAATTTGGGAGATTATGATGGGAAGAAACTAGGTAAAAGTGATTAAACAACCTTATTTTCCCCAAGGTGATCAGTTGTTAGATTAAGTAAAGACCAGTCAGTCTAACTAACACCCACCTGTCAGTTTGTTTTACTGTGGTAGCTTGCATGTTGCTATCATGCTGGAAGCTTACTTTGGACATGTCATCAGGAAAAACCAGTCACTACAAAAGGACATCATGTTTGGTAAAGTAGAGGGTCAGTGAAAATGAGGGAAACCCTCAGTGAGATGGCTTGACACATTAGCTGCAACAATGGGCTCAGACGTATCAAAGATCATGAAGATGGTGTAGGACTGGGCAACGTTTCATTCTGTTATAGATAAGGTTGCCTGCCATGAGTCAGAGCCGACTTGACAGCAACTAACAAGTCAGTCTAAACAGATGAGGGTTGGAGTACACCTAGGTTTATTCTTCAGTTAGTTGCACAGAGCCTGTGTTAGCATGATGTTCACCTTTCCTGGATGTTCTTTTGATTGGTGTTATTGGCGCTGGGTTTGGTCCCTCTGCTGTAACCTCCCCCACCGACACCCCCAGACCTGGGATAACAGCCCTAGACACATGAAGGTCCTTTTCATTTGTATTATAAATTAGTAATACCTACTGAGGACAATACCATATTTCAGTACTTAATAGGAGCAATTGAAGGTAATTATGTTGGGGCACACTACTGTCTGGGGTACAGATGAGTTGGAATTAACTCAATGGCAATGGGTTTGGTTTTTGGTACCACTGCCCCAGGGAGCCCTGGTGGTGAAAGGGTTAAGTGCTTGGCTGCTAACTGAGGTTGGTGGTTTGAACCCACCGGTGGCTCCCTCCGCTGGAGAAAAGAACTGGCAACCTGCTCCTGTAAAGATCACAGCCAAGCAAATCGTATGGGGCAGTTCTGCTCTGTCACGTGGGGTTGCTGTGGGTAGGAATTGACTTGACAATACACAACAATTTTGAGACTCTGTCCTTTTGATATTATTAATGGTCATGGCAAAATATAAGTGACTGGGCCCTACAGATGTCTGAAAGCACGTGTGGTAGCTCAGGGGAACTGATGGCGTCCTGTTGATCCCACCTGGTGAAATTTACTGTTATAGACCCCAAAGTTTTTATTTTATAATGCCTGGATTGTGGATATTGCTTAGTTATTAGTGCTGGCTCCAACATGAGCTTACATTTAGTGCTACTTATCCGGCTACATCCAGGCTTACATTTCCATTTCAGGATTCCAAATAGGAACAGAATTTTGATGTTGAACTCATATCAAATTCCTTAGAATAATAGTTTTTGGAGCTCATATTTGAAATCACTGTTTTCTGTGTCCAAGGTATATTTATTAGTGTTTATCTTTCCTGATGGGTAGCCAGATATGCCTCCAACTGCTCTGAAAGAAAATTGCCTATTTGGAGAATACTTAAGTGTTCTTCTTTTTGCCTTTCAACCTTAGTTACCCTTGAGAGAGAGGATTCTCTTACTTGACTACCCAGTGTTCTCCTTGTTTGACATCCCTTACACTTGCCTTCTGAAGTGTCCACTTCTCCGACTTGGCTGACTTTTGAACTGTCTTGAATGGAGCAAAGATGATGGTTGTGGAAGGCAGTGTATTGTGTTTTAGAGCTTAGTCTCTGAAGCCAGACGGCTGACGTCTAAAGTTGGCCTGTTCCTCATGAGCTGGTGGACATTGGGAAACACCAATTTTTCTCATCTTTAAAATGGGGATAATATTTATTATTAGTAATCAAATAAATCTCAAATCAATATATTCCATTCTATTCCCAACTGCACATGCAATAGTTCTTCTGATCCTAACCTAGATCAGATCTGACAGGTTAAAGGGCGCAGTTCTGCAAACTGTCAAGCCTGTTCAAGACCGTAGATGCCAGCTGCAAGCTTGGGGGAACCCACTACACCCAGATATCTGCTCCTGGCTACAAATTTGAGAGCTTCCCACTACACCCTTAGGCTACCAGTCATAGTTTGGGAGTCCCCAGTGCCCCCAGACTTCTGACCAGTTGGTTCCCACTACTCCCTTGGGTTCCATAATTTGCTGGAACAACTCACAGGACTCAGGGAAGTGCTGTATTTATGGTTACAGTTTTATTATAGCAAAAAGGATACAAATAAGAGACTCATAGGGCAAGGTCTGGGAGGTTTCCAATGCAGAGCTTCCATTTCCCAAAGGATGCCTTACCCTCCCACGTGCATCAAAGTCTATCACCAGCCAGGAATCTCATGGAACTTCTGTATCCAGAGCCTTTTTTGGAGCCTAATTACATAAGCCTGATTGACTGAATCATGCCCGTCACCCCTAAGGTGTGCTAATATCACGGGTGGGTCTTTCTGACCTGGCCAAGCCCCATCCAGGAGGCAACTCATTTGCATAAACTCTCAGATCTCATTGAAGACACTTCAGTCACTGGGGAAAGTCCAAGATTTTAGAGGTTTTCTCTCAGGAACCAAGGACAAAGACCAAATTCTTTGGGTAAAGTTAAATTCTTTACCATGTGCTACTTCGTAGAATTATTTTGAGGATCACATGAGTAAATAGATATAAAGTATTTAGAACAGCACCTGACACATAGTAAATGCTCAATAGATATTAGCTTTTACTCATATCACCAACTCGGCTCCATGACTCAAAAACCCTCAGTGGCCCTGAGGTATTCTTTAAACTTTAAACCTTAAACCAAAACTATTCCCTGAAGTCTTCTTTGAACCAAAAAATAGCTTATTTTAATTAGTAAAGTACATCTGCTCTTAGCATTGTGCTTTTTTAAAGAATTATCTATGTGAAATCAAATTAACAACAGCAACTCAAAAGGTTGGATGGGAAGCTTAGGGGGCAGTAAGTTTAAAATAATGGTGGTAGAATAATGTGGAAAAAGATAGTGAGAATGTAGCACAACTTGAAGAATATAACCAACGTTAATGAGTTGTACATACAGAAATTGTTGAAATAGTGTATCTTTGGCTGTGTAGAATTTCATCAAAATAAAAAAAAATAAAAATAAAACAAAAACCTCAGTGGTAGTGGCAATTACACTTTGGATTCAAGGGCTAACTATGGATGTAGCCCTGCAAGATGTGTCACTGAGGAAAACATACCTGCATGCCACATAGAGTTCATTGAACAACGACTGCGGGCATCCAAGCTGGCTGGTTCTCCCTGCTTGTCCAAAGTGCCCAGAGTGAGGTGCCAGCACATCTATGTCTGCAAACTCTTCAGCCTTTGTTCTGCAAAAGGAATGAGACCTTCCGGATGCGCCTGGGCCCTGCTTATCTTGCTTTTGACCATGATTGCCAGTGTTGTGTCTGCTCTGGGCTCCCTCTGCTGGTCCACTGGGCATCTATTTAAATTTGTGGAATAACAGCCTATAAAAATTCAAGTTTGGACTTTTAGGAAGGTTTGCATAAAACATACATTTGAAAAATTTTTTTGCATGTGAGTGACACAAATCACATCTCTATTAATCTTGTCACTTGTATTATGAGTTCAGGTTAGAAACACTTTTTTCATTTGGTTTGATTTTGAATGGGGGCTGCCATACATACCTAGAAACAGTAACTTCTTTACCACGTAGTTATCAAGAACTGTTATTTTTTATATTCTAATATATGGACTAAATATCTTAGAAGCTTATGTTAACACTCTAAAGAAAATGAAGTGGGGACTTAAAGTCTCAAAAGGTCCCATTTTACATAGTATAGACCCTCTAGAACATTGTTTTGTTAGTACATGTCAGAAAATAGTACCCCATGTTTACTGAGAGATTCATCATTTATTTGGAAAAATAATTTATTGGTAAACTGTGCCATTATGTCCCTAAAATTGCATTTTAAAATAACTCTTCTGCTTCTTTGTGCTTTCCTGATCTATATCTCCTTCCTTCTGCCTCTTTGCCTACTAGGATCAGACAGCATAAACCAGATAACTGCAAATATGGAAAATGGAGAAAATGAAGGAACAACTAAAATTATTGCACCTTCACCAGTAAAAAGGTCAGTGCAGTTAACTGAAGAAACACACAACTATATGCTGTTACAACACAAAAAAAAAAAAAAAAATACCGATTCTTCCCATTGGGTAGGGTTAAGAAATCTTTCCATTTTGATAATTAACCAATACTTTTGATCAATGGGTTCCAGTAAACAGGTTGTGGTCCAGGAATACTTCCAAATGCCAGTAAAGTATAAAACCACAGAAGCTGCCTCTAGCATTTGCGAGGAAGTGTTCTTGCTACCACAGCATGATGAAATCACAGATAGTCTTTAAGCTGCATTCTGTGCAGCAAAGTGAACATTCCATGTGACTTTTAAAATGCCATGATATAATGGACTGCTCAAAGGGACTTGTGGAATAAAGTAGATGATATTCATGTTTAATGTACTGTGCTCATTACAGTGGTGCACTGAACTGTGACCTTGAAAAGGGGGTTTATAGAATTTAGAGGCGTCAGAGCTTCGGAAGTCAGGGATTGCATATGTATGAAGAGTTGTCACGGTCGTCTGCATCAGTTTTCCCAGCAGCATTCCCCACTGGAAAACTTCCTGTTAATATATTACATGGATGTTTCCCTGAAAGATCAGCCTTGTCCTCTGTTAAGAAGCTATTACAGAGTCGTTTTTTCCTATCTCCAATTATGTTCACAGAACAACATTATATATACACAATGAGCAGCTTTCATCGCTCACTTTCTCTATAGAGATTGCTCCACACAACATGGAGAAGTCCAAGGACTCAGAAAATACATGACCTCAAAAAATTCCTAGATCATCTGGTTGATCGTTTTTAGTAAATAATAGTGTCTTCACTCAGTGGGATTGTGGCTACTTTGAGGAATACAGCTGATAATTTCTCAGCAAAATAATTCTAAAATATAAGGATTCCCAGAGTTGCGATGTTTTCCTTAGGGTTTTGTCTACATTTTCTTTTCTCCAGTTCCAAGACACTCCCTTTATAGTTTCTGTTTGGAATGACAAGTTCTTTGCCTTTGCATATACTTCAGTTTACTCTGCTTCCCTTAGCCAGCCTCACAGCTGTGGATAAACAGACAGCCAGCTTAATCTGTATGGACAGGGCATGTTTATAGTAAGTCCAACATAAGAACAGTAATCTTCCATGAAATTCAGATCCCAAGCCTTTTTAGAATGTACAGAAGGAGCTGAATTCCCTGTAACTGCATTCTTGCTGATAGTACAATAGTACTGATACCTGAAGGGATGCCAAATTTTCCCACTCAAGCTCCAGATGAGAAACAGCTTAGGGAGGGAATGCAATTAATTTGCCACCCAGGATTTCATTATTCTTTAACTTTCGTCTGCTCTCCAATTCCCTGTTCATCTCCTTATTTCTTTTCTAACTCTTCCTTTTTTCTTTTCCTCACTTTTTCTTTCTGATTTATTAAAAACACACTCACACCTTTTACTGTTGTACTAAATATCTACCATATTATTTTTCCTCATTTTAAAAGATAAGCTTTTAATTTGGGACTTTGATCTTCAAAAGTTTTTTTAACCTTTATAAAAACAATATATTGTTTGTATATAAAATCTACCTATTATATATTAATGCGATCAGTAACATGCCTTTGTCAAAAATAGAATTCTATAGGCTTATATTTTATTAATTCCTGTATAGATACACAGTACGCTATGATGCAAGTTCATTTTCTCTTTTTGAAATGACCTTGTCATTTTTTCTCTCTTCTCTTTGTTGGCTATTATAAAGATCTCTGCTATGATCAAGTTCTAGGACAGTTACATAGAGGATTCCTCAAAAAGCCAGGGTTAAAAGTGGATTAAGAGTTAAGTAGCTGTATCTTTTTCTTAAGCTGAGACTCCTGGGGAGGTGAGAGGTAACACACTTTCCCTCCCCACTGGTGCCTGAAGACTTCTGATGAGTCCCTTCCTTTCTGTCTCCCCATGTATTTCTAAAACAGTTTGTTAGGATTGAATAACAACTCAGCTATATTTACATTCCTAGGGCAGAAAGACGATACTAGGTCAGGAAGTAGCATTTGAAAGTCATTCTCATTTGGAAGGCTTATGCTAAGATATGGCGGAACCTGGAGGAAAGTCAGTTTGGGTAGCCTGAGCCTGCCCAGAGCTGACCACCCTGCACAGATTCAGACCCAAGTCCAGAGCCAGGGGTCTCTGATCCCCGTGGTCAAGAAAAGGAGCCTGCCCCATGAGCCCACATATCCCAGGTTTCCTCCTCATCAGCTTTCTTCTTTTCTTGGCTCAGTTATCGCCTTTGCTTCCTATCCCGTGGGTGAACTCTCTTAAATGTTTCTTAACAACTGATGACCTGAGTTTTGTTGATTTAAAGCAGTAAAACTAGAAAGAAAGAGGGGGGAGAAAAGACCCAAAGTACTTGCTGGAGACATATTTTTTAGGCTGCCACTTCATGTTCTTTTTGGAATGAGTCATAGGTGTAAACAAGCAAATAAAAACATGCATTGAATAATTTTTATTGTAGAAATAAGTGTATGAGTTAACTTTATTTTCTAGTTAATTTACTTTCTATACTTTTTTGCTTAATTAAAGCTTTAAGAAAGCAAAGAATGAAAACAGCCCTGATACCCAAAGAAGCAAATCCCATGCACCGTGGGAAGAGAACGGCCCCCAGAGGTAAAGGAAATCATTGATTTTATAAAGGAGAAGAGTAGAAAAGCGGTTAGCACTTGTAGCTTATCACATAAAGGAATCCAGCTGCTGTGTGGCTGTGGCTAGCAGTGGATGGACAAAGCAGTCACATTCCTAGATCAATCTGACTGGGATTTCTGAATCAATAGGATGTGTCCTAACATGAAATTTTCTCCTGGAAAGACAGAAAAGAAAACTAGAGTTTATGAAGAAACTGCCTGAGAGGTCATTAAGATGGTATAGAGTGAGATAATATACTTCCGAAAACTGTAAATGACATATTAATGATAATTTCCCTTATTTCATAGTTCTTGTAAGAACTTTAGTTGAAAACTATAGCTGATGGATAGTGATTCTAGAAGACCCTAATTCCTAAAAGTATGGATATATTTAATTTCTTTCTGTTCATAACTGCCAAAACCCGTGACAGGCCTGTATTATAAGGTGTTGTTTATGTAGTTATGTTGGTTCCAGGTATGAGCTCTGGAATGACTACCCAGGGGTTCAAATTCCAGCTCTGCCACTTCCTAGCTACTTTACTTGGGCCACTTAAACATTCTGTATTTCCATTTCTTTTTCTGTTAAATGGGTCTAATAATTGTACCTAAGCACATAGAGTTGATGTGGAGACTAGCTAAGATAATGAATATAAAGCCTTTAGCTCATTCAGTGACTGGCAAGTGGTAGGTTCATCATGAATGTGAATTGTAGTTGTTATGGTTGCTTTCATTTAAATATGTTCATTTCTTATTATTGAGGGCCAGTGAAAAAAATGATGTAAATTAATGACTTTCCTGGTTCCATTTGCCAGACTTTACTTTCTTTTTTTTCAATAAATCTTGTCAGCAAAGAGAACCGTATATCCTCAGTGCAGCGAGCCCCTGAAAGGACGGAACATGTGGCTGTGGACACACTGCTAGCTCAGGCTTAGGGTTTTTGCCCTCCAGGCCTCTTCAGGCCGTTGTTGACCATCCCTCTTTCATTCCAGTGGACTCTACAACTCTCCCAGTGACCGCAATAAATCACCAAAGTTCCCCTACACGCGTCACCGAAACCCCTCCTGTGGCAGTGACAATGACTCCGTGCAGCCAATGAGGAGAAGGTAAGCTGAACACAGCCCTCTGCTGTGAATTGTCCACAGAAGCTCTGGGTCTCATTTCCATTTTTATAAAAGGTAATTCTCATAATATCATTACTGTTTGTCTCTCTAAGACAACAGGAAGATTACTCTTGTTGACATAAAATAAGCTAGGGATCCTGAGGCACTTCTCTGAAACAGCCAGAGTTTTAGAGAACAATCTTATAAAATACTGACAGGAACTTGCTTTCTGTATTTTAATTAAGACCAAAAAATTAAGAATTTTAATTGACTAGTATGATATATAGATAATATATTATTATGTGATATAATATTGTACATTATGTTAATACATAATATATCTTAATATGTATTATGTTAAGATATATTAAATGATCCTATCTGTGAAGATGAAATAAGTTTAAAAATAAGGCTTCTGAGCTGAGGCTGAGTGCTCTGCTCTCTAGACTGGTATTGTTGCATAAGCAGGACTAAAACCCTTTCAAAGCACAGAGAAAATACATCCTGTTACATTTTATCTAACAGGGCATATTAATTTTGTGTGATTATATTGGTAAGTGTATGTGAATGATAATAATAAGTTAATATCTGGAAGATTTGGACTTTTCTGCAAAGCAGGCTGGGCACTATGAGAGGTGCAAGAGAGGAAGAAATGACTTACCAGTGAGATTGTTTTCACCCCTTCATGATAGGGGCTGTGATTTACCGTGGATGCCCACGTAATTGTTATATTATGAATGACTTTTATAATTACAAGAAGTTCAGGTCATGTTGTTCTCAGATAACCATCAGGATTCTCTTTTGTGCCCTTCTTCATGCTCACTGCTTCTTCCCTGTTTGATTCCTTCTATTTCTGTCAGTTTCCCAGAATCTTATTCCTCTGCCTTCTCTAGTGAGGTCCAACTTTACTGAAATCCTTTGACAGTTAAGAAGAGAAAGATCTACATCACCTTCACATTGTAGAATTGAGAAGCGGGAAGCTAGATCACCAGCAGTGATTAGTTAGGATAAAAGAATAATAGTTAGCATTTGTTTGGTACTTAACCATGTTCTAAGTACTGAGCAAAATGCTTGGTATATATTGTTTTATTTCTCCTTATAATAACCCTATGAGCATTGGCATTTATATATTTTAATCACTAGGCATTTCTAGCAGAGAGAGATTAATGCAAAGAATTGGTGCAAAGCTGTGAGGAAGGTTGAAGGGACAAAAGGCGGAGAGTAAGGCAACTCAGAGATTTGAAAGCTGCTACTGCCTCTGGGCTGGACGAATAAAAGGACAGACCCAGAAGCTGCTTCCACCTTTGAGCTGGAACTCGTGAACCTACACTTGCTGCTGACATGGCTGTAGGCATCACCACGGGTGCTGAGCAGGAACCACCCTGGCTCCCACTGGTGAAGGTGCCACCACTGTAGATAAAGCTGCTGGAACCACACTTCTCATGGGTGCATGGGTGCTGCCAAAAGTGAAATTGTTTCTCTTTTTCTCCTGTGTTCAAATCTTACCTGAGTGCCTCTTTTACTGGAACCCAGCTGGCATGGGAGTCCAGGAAAATGTGATTTTCAGACTTCTAGTCTTGGCAGTACAACAGAGATTATAGGAGGTCAGTGTGGGTCTGAGTACCAACAGAAAATAACTGCCCTAGCATTATTATCTCACTATTTTTTATATTTTTTATTGTTGTAGTTAAATGAAGTTTACATTTCAAGTTAGTCTCCCATACAAAAATTTATACATACATTGTTATGTGACTCTAATTGCTCTCCCCATACTGTGACAGCACACTTCTCCTTTCCACCCCGGATTCCCCATGTCCATTCAGCCAGCTCCTAACCCTCTCTGCCTTCCCATCTCACCTCCAGACAGAAGCTGCCCGTTTAGTCTCTTATGTCTATTTGAGCTAAGAGGCACACTCCTCACAAGTATCACTTTATGTCGCACAGTCCAGTCCAACCCCTGTCTGAAGAGTTGGCCTCGGAAATTGTTTTGGTTCTGGGCTGACAGAGAATCCAGGGTCCATGCTTTCTGAGGATCCTCCAGTCTCAGTCAGACCATTAAGTCTGGTCTTCTTACTAGAATATGAGTTCTGCACCCCGCCTTTCTCCTGCTCCGTCTGGGACTGTGTTGTGTTCCCTGTCAGGGCGGTCATTGGTGGTAGCTGGGAACCATCTAGTTCTTCTGGTCTCAGGCTGATGAAGTCTCTCGTTTATGTGGCCCTTTCTGTCTCTTGGGCTGCTACTTTCCTTGTGTCTTTGGTGTTCTTCATTCTCCTTTACTCCAGGTGGTTGGGACCAATTGATGC